AATTCAGGCCCATTGATAGTCATTAGTTTTCGTTTTACTCGTTTTACCTAGCACAGAGGAAAGACTGCAAGATGGTGGAGACTCGGCCTGTGGGCTGTGGTTTGTTTGTTTTTGGTTTGTTTTGGTTGTCCTTGTTCTTTTCTCCACCATCTGACTGTTCTTCCCTTCCTTCAACGATGACCTGGGCACCATGCCCACACGGCGTCCGTACTCGTGGAAAAAAAAAGTATCCAGCAGCTCAACAATCCTCAAGGAGTGGCAATACCGCCACCCTTGCGGGCCTATCGCAGTAAAGCCAGCATCCAGTCGGACATGGCGGACTCGCGTGGTCGAGTGGAAGGCTTTAGCTTCAAGAATACCGGAGTCATTCACAATTGAGCCCTTGCAGCGGCTTATTGTTCTCTAAACACCGAAAAAGCACTTCTGCACAACACATGGAGCTGTGTTACCGTGCCTGCTAAAGTGGTCAGATTCAGCCGAAGGAAGCTGTCTTCTTCCCCGTCTGGATGCTGGAAATGGCACGGTTCGGTTCGCGCCTTCTGCCATGTGGGGTCCGATTCCGGCGTTGGCAGTCTTCTTTTGCAGACCCTGCAAAGTTTGACTTTGAGCCAACGTGAGGGTGCAAGCAGACTGTGCGCCAAGCACAGTAGGCTGAATGGAAAGAAGACAGCTTCGATTGTACCTCACCACACTGGCGGGCACGGTGATACAGCTCCAGGTTCAGGTCAGCATCACCACACGTGGTATGTTAGAGGAACACCCAGAAGAGCATCTGCCGTGCATCAGTCCCATCGAAACGTTTGGGTGTGAACTCACCTCAATGCGGACACTCAGGTGGCGCTTCAAGACCCGCAAAAAAGAACTTTGGAATGCCAATCACTTTTGTCTCATCGTGCACGAGTGCTTTCTGTGTCTGGAGAAAAACAAGCCTCTTCAAGGGACTTGATTGTAAAGACTGCCTGAAGGCAATTCGAGTCTCTGTTTCAACCAGCAATTCTTGAAGCCAAGACCTTCCACTCGACCAGCGCGAGTCCGCCACGCCTGCTTAGTGTTGGCTTTAGTGCAATCGGTTCGCAAGAGTGGCGGTATTGCCACTGCCTGCGGATCGTCAAGCTGCCTGATGCGGTTGTGACGTAAGGATATGCAGCTTTCCAAGGTTACTCCCCACAGGCAGCCGAAGGGTTCTGGAACCAGCAAGTTCCAGGCACTCCGTCCTTTGCTCGTAAGGTCTTCTTCAATCCCCTGTTTGAACTCAATGCAGTTTTTCCTGATTTCGTCAGGTGCAGAACACCAAAAAAGGAGTTAGCTTCATTCTTGCACCCACGCACGAACATCTTCTGGAGTACCAATGGCAAGGCTGATGAGCTTGGATGGAATGAGAAACCAAAGGACCGAATGGTTTGCAAGGACATGTGCTTCAGCCTCTGTATGTTTGCAAAGTTGTGACTGAGACCAGCAGGGTCGGTGTGAACAAGGGCATGGAGGCCAGAGGTGGCACGACAAGCACAACTCAGGCGAGTGACGCGGGCTTCCACTTCAAGGACACAAAGCGCCAAGCCCCTAGTGCACCAAACCGGCACACCAAACGGACCCTAGATGGCGACCCTACACATGCGAAGCCACTGCCACGCTCGTAGCTAGAAGTTGCTGGGTGTGTTCAGTCAGCTTTTGGCTTGGAAGCAGCTTCTGGAACTGCCACTGCGCGCAGGAAACACGACACAGTGCCACCACGGAGCCTCAGCCACTCACTTTGCTCATTTAGACTCGCACGGACTTGAGCCTGACCCTTGGTTCTGGCTTGTTGGTTGTTTTGGTTGGTGTTTTTTGTGTTGGTGTTTTGGCTTGGTGCTGCCTGTCTTGATTGTCAGGCTCATCTCACGCACCCCCCATCTGAATTCGACTCGGTGACTTGTGCCTCTCGGCACACATAGCGCCCATACCCGTGCAAAAAAAAAAAGAAGAGCCTCAGGCACTCACTTTAGTGGGCAGGCGGCCAGCAGCACTGCGTCCACGCAACACCGAACTCCCCGTGAAAGCACACAAAGAAGTCAAGGAGAGGATCACACAATGGGCTTTCGCCCACAAACAACTTCCGGCAGCTCATGTGGCATGAACCAGTGATGAGCTGCTCGTAATCCGATGGGTGCCTTCAGGAGGAGAGCTCGGTGCTCCGCAGGTTATCCGCAACACCACCTGGGCTTTGTTTCGGATCGCCTAGAAGGAGTCTGAAGAATGGTTGTCGTGGGACCGCTGGAACAAAGGCCGATTTCAAGTCCATATCCTGCTGGGCTTCTTCGCTAACGAGTATATCTACACTTTCCATATGCACTCGCATTGGAGAGTGCATGTGCGCTTTTTGTTCCCATACTAGACCCGTGGTTGCGATGACAACCTTGGCTTTGGGGATAGCTGACGCGTAATTTTGCATGGCAAGGTCGTGTGGAGTGCTCGCCGTATTTGCGACAGCTTCTTCTCTTCCGACAGGTCTGACAAACAGTCAAGCGTGTTCCGTGTCAAGATCTAAGGAGACAAGGAGTTTGGTGATTGTCCGACCCGCTGGATTTTCTTTGTGGACAACTCCAATCTTCAAGTTCGTGGTGATGGCAATCCACGCTCACACGCAAACATGACACGGCCCCACGGCGCCAAACCTTCGCTCAACATCTCCCCACCCTTCTTTTCTCTCATCCAAAACTAAGACAGACCAAACAAACACAAAGACTCAAGGCGCTAGGTCGACTCACGGCGGATGTCCACCACAAGCATTGTAGCAAACAAACATGCACCATGCGTGCAAGTTTTTTGCACGGGTCGAGGCGCTATGTGTGCAGAGGATGCGCAAGTCACCTTAGGCTAGTAAGAGAGATACGAACCAAGCAGCAAAACCGGAACCAGAACAAACAACGCCAAAACAACAAACCCAACCCACCCAAAAAGGAGCAAGGTTCGTCCTCAGGTTGGCTGCGTCAGCCAGTGGAGAAGAGTGAAACAAGGCGAGACGAAGGGGCAATGAGTTCATCCTTTACACTCAGTACTTCACGATCTGGGCATTGTCCTTTTTCCTCGAAAGAATCTGTGAGATTGGTGCACCGCTTTCGAAATCTGTTGCACTCTTCGTGCGAGAATGTGCGATGAGGTTTTCTGTTTTGCAGCCGAAGTACCTTGGCCCGGGGGACTGAAGCGGCACCGCGCATTGTAATACAAGGCCCGAGCCGTGCTGAAGTGGTACCGAGACGGCAGCGCGCGCTGTAAAAAAGGAGAGGTACTTGGGTTGGTCATCAAAAAATCCTGTTTTCGCGATGCCGCTTTCAGCTTCTGTGGGAAAGAAGATCTGTTTGACGATACGCTGCAGAAGACAAACCCTCCTGCGGCAACTGACAATCTAATTTGATGAACAGGCCATGAAGAACACCAACAAAGAGAAGCTACCATGCTTCGCGGCCCAAAAAACAACTTGAACAGCCACAAGCTGCCGCAAGAAACAGAATGGAACGCGCGCAGAGAAGGCTATATTCTCTCCCCAATGGAAATCAGCGCGGAGTTGGTTTGCAGAGTTTCCACCTCAAGCATGATGACCTGTGCATACCGCACACACGCATCAATACTCGTGCAAAAAAGTCAGCATCCACAAAGCACAGCTGGCGCGAGAAATGAGACCCTGCACATGTCCATTGTCAGTGCGAGCTGCCGTGCACAGCTCCTTTGAAAATTCAGCTGCTTGGGGGCAAAACGTGAGCGTGTCACCCGCAGCAATGAACGCAAAGAGCGAGTCCAGACTCTGGAGCATGGCACGGGAACAGAGTTGATTGGGATGGGCAGGTGCGCCGTTACTCCCAGTGCCGTGGGCCGTTGGCTTGTGCTCAGGTGGCATTGTGATTCTGCCAGGGCAAGGAGTTGAAAGCTGACTGCTCTAGATGTCATCACTGTGAGGCTTGGGAAGTTCCACTGAGCCTCTTGTGACATCCCATGACCGCGCCACAGAGCCCTTGACAGAGTTCAGGATGTGGAAGAGATCTGGGCTGTTGTTCCAGTCACCCACGAAAGGCTGCTCGGAAGAAGAGAATGAAGAGTACCTGAGTGGCATGGCAGCATGTGACCACAGTCCCACTGGATGGTGGAAGGGAAGTTGAGATTCCAGTGGAATATTTGAGCGCAGAACTGGTGCCAAGAACAATGGATGAAAGGTTGCTCACAGCCCCTCCACCATTTGAACCACCAGATGAATCAGAAGTAGAAGTTGAAGGGCCAACAAGTCCCAATTGTGATGTAGATATGACAGACGCAGCAACAGTGAGAGCGACTGGAGAAGGATAAGCAACAGATGGACCAATAGATGTTGATGAGAAAATGGACACATTGAGGTCCAGAGCTTCATTGCAGGCAAGAGAAGAGTTGTTGAAACTTGAAGACAGTGTCGAGTTGTACAATAGAGTTGGTGACACGGTGAAGCTGCGAGAACTGTACGAAGAGCTACTAAAGGTGGTAATTTTTTCAATGATTGACAGTGTGAGAAAAAGGAGACAGACAGCATTAACTCCGCCACCAAAGGAGGAGTGCGTAGACTTTTCGATCACATTCATGTTTCATTTTTACACTCCGCTAGGCCGCTAAGGTTCGAGAAAAAAATGCCGTTTTCGCATAAAGACGTATTTTTCTTGGACACTTGCCTTCAACTTCTCATGTAGATTGCCAGAGTTCCCTCCAAACGTCGCTAAACTTGTCGATGCTGGAGCGAAGGAAGTTGACTTTCCACTCGACTTTGCACCTTTCATGCGGTCGTGGTGAAGTGAGGGATCTGCTGCTCCCCGCTTGAACAGTTGCGCGCGTGCTTTGTCGGACGCACGGCAATAAGACAAAACACGTTAAGTGTGTGACTTGCTCGACATCATTGATTTCTTAGTTGTTGTTTAAATGTGAGAGACAAATCTGGGGCACGTTGCCCCCAAACCAACCACAAAGTTCCACGGGGGTTTCGGTGCTATGTTGTCATTGCGAGTTTTGCTGAATGGCGGTTCAAGTGCACTGGTTTGGGCATCAAGGTGCTGCAAGCTTGCAGCCAGGCCGCAAGTGTACCTGAAGTCATTCAATTGCCGTGCTTGATGCTGACAGTCTGGGGGAAAACGCAAAAATTGGATCAAACATTGACTTGGCAATTGCACACAAGCTGTTGTAGCAATAAGTTAAAATGGTTTCAGTGGTTAAACGCGCAGTCGTTCACAACACATTTTGCTGTTTCCAGGCCCCATGGGTCGGCGTCGCAGCGAGTTTGCGCCTCAGACACCATTTTTCAACGGGTTATTTGAACGAAATAGGAGTCGGAATTTGTCTCGAAGAGGGCCTCAGGTACAGCTATACGTGTTTGATCAGGCCTTCCAGTTTCTTGCTCCCAGAAATCTTACAGACATTCTAAGCCAGAATCAGAATGCAACAAATTTTCCCAGGTCAAGGTCATACAGCTACTACAGCGATAGCCGCAGCCCTTCACGTGATCGCAGACGTCGGTGAGGATCTTAGCTGCTTTAAACATGATATTTTTTGTCAAGTCATCTTCAAATGCAATTTCTTGGATTTCTTTTTGCAAACAACCTCAAATAGAAACTGAGTGGCCTGAGACGATTAAAGATTCCAAGCACTCCTTGCTGCCCAAATGTTTGACTATTGCATCGTTGCAGTCGGCGGCGCTCCCGGCGCCGGCACCGTGGAAAGCGCTTGAGCACTGTAGACAGGCCATGGAAAAGTCACATGCTCACACATGCCAACAAAGCGCAGTCAGAGCAGAATGTGCTGCAACGATGCTATGCTTAAAGATGTTTTGTTTGAGTGTCTTCTCGTGAGAAGTGTACTGGAACTTTTCGTCTCAGATTCATCCGAGAGAATGAACTGAACGAGTCGGCTGCGGCCAGACTACGCGGTGCCACGAAAGAGGCGAGGCTGTTGGGAGGAGTCGCTGCTGACTTCCCCAGACCTGTATTGTTCCAGGAACAAGAAACTATTAGTAACCAGGGCATTATTACTAGTAGCAAGAATGCTACTAGTGGTTCCTGGCATTGCTACTAGGAACAAGAAGCTACTAGTAACAAGGGCATTACTGGAACTCTGAAAGATTCTGTACTTCGTCGGATGCCTGTCATTGTCCGGTGAAGACCATCCACTTGTGTCAGGTTCGTGATGCCTGCATTGACCAAGGCTGGAATGCCACTTGGAATGGTGAGACTTTGCAAGGAGTCTATTCTATTTGTTGTTTATGTTTTAAAGCATGGAGTGTGATTTTCGCAGGAGACAGGCCGATTTTAGAGTGAAAAGAGAGCAGTGTGGAAGGTTGAGGAAAGGGGGCGAAGGGATAGTTTGCGGTTCAGCGGGGTTTCCGCCTTTGCAGTAAGCAAACAGTAATTAAACGAAGCAAGCAAAGTGAACGAAGGCTTTGATGGCATGACGGAAGCAAGACTCTGGGAACTCGTGCGAAAATTGCCTACCTAGGTGATCGAGAATGCGCGCAATGCCAGCGCCGTGGTGATCTCTCGCATTAAGCCAGTTCGGCAAGAGTTACACAGAATTGATGTACTGTAAGACTTGTAGCGTACAAAACTATCCTTGTATTTGTATTTAATCAGACATTAACATAGTTTATACTCTGAATACGAATGGTATTCTGGCGACTCTGCTGTTACATGCAACCATGGAATGGGGCTAGATTAGAAAAAGCACCGCAATGCTAGATGATGAAGCACCGTGAAAACGACAGGAAGATCGAAGATGGCATGCGGAAAAAGGCGGAGCGGAGCCGCTCGCGGCGCTCGCGCTCCCGCCGCTCCCGGCGCTCGCGGAGCCGGCGCAGCCCGAAGCGGAGCGGAGCCGGTGGAGATCGCGACAAGAAGGAGAAAGGCGAGAAAGGCGCGCCGAGCCCGAGAGGTAGTCTAAAATTTGCAACGTGGATACAAAGAAGAGAAAGAGGATGTATGGTGCAATTATGAACAAGCGAAAAGAAGACCCATATTTCAACATGAAGGAAGTTCAACAGAAACAAGGAATATCAAGAAACTAGACAATGTAAACAATTTTCTGGAAGACAAGCAACGTATCCAGAATTGCAGCTGAAGAAAGACAACGGGAAGGGATTGAATGTGAATGAACACACAAAATAATGAGGCTTGAGGAGGGGATTCAATGTGTCCGAGATCCGGACGCCAAACTCATGGCTGTGCAGGGGATGAAGCGAAAGATGGAGACGCGCAGCTTGGTATCTAAACCCCACCAGTCGTTTGCACACGGGACGGAGAAATCCCTTGGCTTGCTGTCATTGTGTGCATGTTCAGAGCTTTTTGGCAAAGGAATTCCAGCAAAGGACACGAGCCATGAGATGACTTGGGCAGTTCCGCAAAATTCATCACATCTGTGAGCATGAAGAGATAGGACTCAAAGCCAATTCCCTCTCCCCCGAATTGCAATCACTCTGGACCCACAAGGCTGGCAAGTTGTTGCGTTGATGATGGCTTTGATTTTAGCAAAACAAGCATGTAACAAACATGTCTGTTTAACAAGAAGAATCCAACCCATTGAAGGTAAGAGTATGCACCTTGGCTCTTCATCAAGCTTTGATAGTTGTTCTCATTCAAGGCTCGTGAACACCTTTCCGCAACCAAAACCAAGTGTTTGGATGAAGTTGGAGATTCTCTTATCACTCAGGTCTAATACCAAGGGTGGCCGGAAGAAAAGTGGCAGCCGAAGCCGGAGCCGCTCATGATGGTAGGACTTCCTTTGCATCAGTTCAAAACAGTTTTATGGCCCGGAACCGCTTTATACCTTACTTATATATGTTTCTGCTCTTCTTTGATTTGGTTGTGCTTGTTGCATGGGAAGTTTCAAAGCGGTGTTGGTTCTAAGCTTGGCGTCTCACAAAGAGGTATTTTCCTCAGGTGAAGAAGTGCAAGAGAATTGGCCTTTCGGAGAGCTCCGTGACAGTCCAAAAACAGAGGTACAAACAGATTCAAGACTGGATTTCTCTGTTTCCTTCTTCAAAGTCCTCAGTTTCGACTGGTTGAGAGTGTTGCGCACAGTTTCGAGGGAACACACGAAGCGTTCGGAAGAGTTCTGCTTGTACGAAGCGTTCGGCGGGTCTCACGGCGGATTTGATCGACGCTGCGGGGGTGGATCGCGCTATTAGCTGAGTGACCAGTGACTCAGTGACAGCATCCACAAAAAGGAGAATTGAGAAAGCCCGTCACTGACAAAGAGGGCTTCATGTGCGAGAGTTTACTCTCTTGGATAGAGTTTCCTTCGAGCCTTCGTTTGCAAAGTTTCTCAGTCGAAACACGAGAAGCGACAAGAAGCGAAGAGGAAGCAACAAACATGTCGATTTCAGTTCCCGATGCTAAGATCCTATATCGAAGGGAAGCCAGATCCCGAAGAGCCCAGAACTGAAGCGAAGCAAAAGCGAAGCAAAAGCCAATCAAAAGCGAAGCAAAAGCGAAGCGAATGAAATTTTGATCAAACAACTCCATACGCCGACCTCGGGCGATGGAGCCATGGAATTCTGCTTCACTCTCAGCCGGTCAAAAAATATCTTTGACTTGTGAAAGGTAAGAATTTGCTTAAATCGACAGGACATTCCGGTTTATGTTCAATATTTGACAGCATTGCCTAATTCTTTGAACAGTTTAAGGAATCTTGTTTTTTTTGAGAAGCTAACAACTTGAGGTTTGGTGTTGCGATGACCCTGGGAAGCTCGGAGTATTTTATTCTGAGCCAGATGCATCTTTGGAGTCTTCGAGATCTGTGGTATTCTCGAGGATAGAAGAAGCCGTCGACATGGAGAGTGCTGCGTCCAACTGCCATTTGTCCGAAAGACAGACGAGAGACTTGGACTTCTGTGTGAAGCTCAATTTTCTCCACCTTGCAAGAAAACATGCCCATGCTCCATGTAGCTTCCTTGCTACTTAACCCAGCTACTTAACTCCCTTTGCCTACCCTCCCCGAAGAGAAAGATCGAGCTTTGAAAGGCCGCTGGTCGAACCTTGCTCCAGAGCTTTGGGGGAGAGTAGCAGCTCGACTTGGCCCACAGCCGTTGCTTGGCATTTCAGTTTTGCCGTTGCTGACAGATTTCGATTCCGCCGTCGGCTTTCTGACGTTTCCAGGTTTATGCGTCCTAGCCTCAGAGATGGCTCAAAGAGCTGACTCCGCTCGCTCCTGTGCCTTTTCCTCTATTTTTCGTTTCTTTTGGACCCTTTTCTACACAGATCCTTTTTCATCAATTTTTCCTTCCTTTCTTTCTTTTCGCACTTTTACAACTCACATGGACCACTGAGGGCTGCTCACCTGTAGCCGGGGTCTTGTGTTGCGCCACGAGAGGCCAGCCTGTTACATTCATAGCGAATCAAAGGAGCTGTAGCCCCTGCCATTCTCCGCTAATATCCATGGTCCATGAGTCTATGGAACAAACGTGACAGGGCCCGCCTTTGGCACTTCTTCTGCCACTTTGCCGGTTATGCGCGGCGTTGTGAAGAAGGCCTTTAGTTGGATTGAAGCTTGAGAGCTTCGTGCTTGGTTCCTGCTTGGTTCAAGACCATGTCTCAATGCTAATGGACATTCGTTGCGAATATACAAAGGAGGTGAACAACCTGAGCGGCCTCCACTGGACTGGCAACTGCTCTTTCGTCAGAATGCGCAGGAGCTCGGTCGATTGTGACAGGAAGCGGTTCACATATGTCAAACATTTTCTCTATATTAAAGTTTTTTGGAGCTCGGTCAGGCCGCTTGATGGCTTGCATTCTTTCACTGCGTGCAGCTTCCTTGTTGTCCAGGCGCAGCACCACCTCTTCTGCTGGGTCAGAATAGGCTCTGGTGCACAGCCTTCGTTCTGCATATTGAAAGAGCACTACCAGTTTACCAACCTTGGGCAAACAGCAAGTTTATAGACTTGCTTCTGTTCCCAAGGTGCAGAAGAGCTGAGAATAGCCATTCCCCAGGAGACTTTTGTTTGTGTTTGAAGATGATTGGATTTCTCTGTCTTGAATGAGGGTAGGTCTGTTATTCGATCCTGGATGCCCTCAAGCAAAGCTGACATGAAGGTGATGAGAAGCATCCACATAAGCAGGAAGGGTAGAATGCATGGGCCAAGCTTCTTTTATGGTTGTCTGGGCAAACACACGGCTTGGGTGGCATTGAAGGATTTTATGCACATGAAGGCCTCTTTTCCTCCTCCTCCTCCTCCTGCTCCTCTTCCTCCTCTTCCTCCTCTTCCTCCTCCTCTCCTCTCTCTCTCTCTCTTTTCCTCCTCTTCCTCCTCCTCTCCTCTCTCTCTCTCTCTCTTTTCTTCGCGTAAGGATGATGCAATTCCTTACGTGGACCAAGATCAGGTTTGGGCTGACAGCAAAGATGTCATGCATGATGCACATTACACCTTCATATCGCCTTGGTGTTGAAAAGCTCGATCAGTGTTTGAATGCACTTCGTCAACTTTACTTTATCTACTACTGGACTTGCAATTCGTGCGGTTTGATTCGTTGTTACACCGAGATTGCCAGGGTTTGTGCGCACCGGAGCTTCTAGCCCAGCAGCTGCGCAACTTGCTCTTGAAGGAGCCAACTGAACAGCATTGAACATTTGCACCTTATTTCATGTAAAAAATAGCAATGGCCTCCAGCTTACTAGCGATGGCTCCAACCTACTATACCTTGACATTTTTGTTAATTGATGCCATCTACATCCTTGAAGAAGACATCACATGCTACTAGAAGCAAGGACGCTACTAGGGGCTCCTGGCCTTACTACTAGGAGCAAGAAGCTACTAGGAACAAAGGGCATCGCTCCGAACGGAGCAAGCCGAGTGGTTCGAGTCGACGGATCACACTTTTTGGAGAGGAATGCTCCTTCCGACTCCGGGACTTGATCGTAGGGCGGCCAGGCTTGAAGCTGAAAGCACTGACTTGCAGTGGAAGCTTTACACATTGTAAAGACTACGTGGAGAACATGCATTTAACGCTGCAGGTTTGGCCTCCAGGGCGGTAGGATTCTATGCCCAGGGCAGTGAGACGAAGGCTAACTTGCACAGTTACACAGCAGCGAAAGCAACTTCGCGTCCTTTGGCCGTGTCCTTCTAACTGGTCTTCCTCTTGTTGTGTTTCTTCCAGGTGATGGTAGAGTTTCTTGACGACCCAAAGCTGTTGCCATGGAGGCGGGTTATAAACGCGTAGAACAAGGCAAGGATCGCCCGAGCTGCAGTTTATGAAGCACAATGAGATGCTCAAACGAATTCAAGAGATGAGATGTCCGCAAGATAAAGCCCTACTTTGAGCGTTCTCAGACCGGCTGATGGCGATGCTGGCCCCCACGGCCTAGGCTCATAGCGATGCTGGTATCTCACCTTTCTTTTTGCACCCCGTATCTTCGGCTATTGTCAGGCCGTGATGGATGGCTGGTGGAGCTACATGCGGGCCAAGTACGTGAATGGTTGCTGGCTGCAACCCTACCTAAGGATCCTAAAGACCACCAACTGGCAGTACTTGCAACACCTGTGACATTGCTTGTTGTGCGCTAGCCTCTTTGGCTCGATCCTTTGCATTGCTGAAGCATTGTGCCACGCTTGCCTTGTCCTTTTCAAGGTGGACAAACCAGCATCTACAGCGACGGTACGTGACCTTTGCAAGGTGCCAACACCGGCTGTTCCGGCTGAGGTGAACGGAAAGTTTGGAGAGCTCTGAAGAGGAACTGATGTTAGACCAAGACCATGTCGCAAACACTGAGAAAGTCTGAGAAAAAGAATTTCTGGTTGGGGAAGACAAGGGGTTGGAAGTCAGTCCCAAATGCTGCTGGGAGAAGCTTCCGGAGGGGAACAGGTAAGTGGGTTTCGCAACCGTTGCGGTTTGATCCAAAAGGAAAAGGGATCCTTTTTGTTGTTTACGGCTGATCATCCCAAGGCGGTGTCTGCTCGATTGCCAGACTTGGGTTTTCGAGCCAAGCGATCCTGGCTGGCCACAGTGCAGGCTGGACATTGGACACTTACTTCACATTGCTCCTTGTTTTGGAGTGCACTGTGTGCCTTTCATCTTGGCTCGTTCAGCCTCTTTTGCGACACTTTTGGCTTATCATTTGGGTTTTCACACTTGGCCGCCTTGGCCTGAAGACTTTAAGGATTGCGAGAAGTGTTCGTCGGACCTGGAGCTGGGCCACGAGCTCTTGCGCGATTTGCGCTGGACGCAGTCCGAATGCCTGGAGCTCCGCGAGGCCAAGGGTCTTGACGAGGACGCACTTTTTCAATCCGTCCTTGTCATTGTTTGAGTATATATTTATTTGTTTGCTGCAAACACAAAGGAGAAATCGCAAAATATTCGAACCAGACAGCAGACAGCCAGGTTCAACAACACAGCCTCATTTAAGGTTTCAGAATTCAATTGTTTGTATTTGTTTGTATACTACTCGTATGACAGGTTAGGTGGCCACCTCTCAGAGCTTTATGTCATGTTCTGGATCACATTGAAACAATGTCTTGTTTTTCAGCAAATGCATTTACAACAGTAATTGTTTCAGCAGGATTTCCGTATGGTTCAATTGTCCTGAACCTTGTCTCATACAAACTGGTCACTACGCTGGCACGGTTCATGTCTAGGTCCGGGTGACTCCGTAGAATCTGTAGATCGACCTGAAACCTTTTTTGATCAAGAACTCGTGCATGATACCACACATTGCTAAACAATAAACGAGAAAGACAACTGGCAGAGCACCCTCCAATGAGAGCCCAAGGCAGCAGCAAGCACAGCAGGTGCAGCAAGCCAGACACAAGCTGCGCAGCATGCGCAGC